GATTGCTTATCTGCATTTTGTTTTGTTCTTTTTCTGGAGATTTGATCTGTTCTTTCATTTGGGCCATGTTTCTTTGTCTCCTCATTTTGGCAGCCTCCCTTTGTTTGTTTCTATGTATTAGGTAGAGCTACTTTGACTCTGTGTCTTGGTAGTGTGGCCTAATGTAGTAGGTGTCCTGTAGGGTCCAGTGGCACAGCCTCCCCTATCACCCAAACTGAGTACTCGAGGTGCATCCTTTGTGTGGGCTGAGTACACCCTCCTCTTGTAGTTGAGCCTTGGTTTCAGTTGGCAGGTCAATGGAAGGGCCAGTTTGCTCCAAGGACTGGATGTGACCACTGACCGTAACCTCTGCCCTCTGTGGAGGATCAGCTGCACAGGGGCATGGTGGTGGTGTTCCAGCATTGTCTGTAGCTGTCCACTGGGTGCACTGGTGGACATCCAGTGGACTGAGTTTCCCGGGTGGTAAAGGCTGAGGTCAGCCTCCACCTGTGTTTGCTCGGGACACCTTTCCTGAGCTGTAAAGCAATCTGAGATGGCTGCTACTTGTGCTGGGCTTGGAGATTCCCAGGTAAAGCCAAGCTGTGACTCTGATCTTGCTGCTGATAGGGCTTACTGAGGCCAGCTGTTGGTTGTTTGAGAGAATTTAGAACCCAAGATAAGCCATTCCTATGGAAAAGGAGCTTGTGTAGGCCCATAAGTTGGGTGGGGTAGAGCCTCTGTGGATCTCCATGGTGGGTCACACAATGTTAGCCAGGTTGATGGTGTCTCTGATATGGCACCAGTCTACTGGCTCTGTGGGAGTGAGGACTCAGCAAAGGGACGATGGCCTCTGCTCACCTGGATGCCAGACACTTTAGTCTCTCCCTGGATACCACTGATGCCCTCCAAGCTGCCACCCTGGTACTGGTGCTCAGAGGGAGCGAGTCTCAGTAGTTTAGCCCATGCATAGGTTCCCCAAGAGGAGCTCCAATAGTCTCCTCCACTGATTCAATCCCCACTGGTTTTTGCAGCCAGAAGTCATGACCTTCCTGGTACTGGAATCCTGGAATGGGGGGCATGGTGTGGAACTGGGACTCCTCATTCCCAAGAATTCCCTCCCGAATTTCTATCCATGTGGGTGTGAGGCCAGTCCATTACATGTCTGGGCCCCTCCTACTAGTCTGGATGGATGTGGTTTCTTCAGTTCCGTAGTTGTCAGACTTCCATTCACTCAATTTCATAGTTGCCAGACTTCCATTCAGCTCAATTTCTGACATTCCTGAGTGATGATTGTTCTATATTTTAGTTGTAATTTTGATGTGGTTGTGGGAAGAGGTGGGCCATAGCTGCCTATGCCACTATCTTGTAGTTTTCTTTCCTTTGTGTGTCTTTACCTAGTTTTGGAATTAGGGTGATACTGGCATCATAAAAAGACTTTGAAGTCTTCCCTCTTCTTGAATATTTTGGAATAGTTTGAGAATGATAGGAGTTAGTTCTTCCTTAAATGTTTGGTAAAATTCACCTATGAAGTCATCCTGTCCAGGGCTTTGTGTGCTGGGAGTTTTTGATTACTGCTTCAGTTTCACTAGTTATCAGTCTATTCAGGCTTTCTGCTCCTTCTTGATTCAGTTTTGGAAGATTGTATGTTGTTAGAAATTTGTCCATTTCATTCAAGTTGTCCAATTTCTTGGCATATAGTTGTTCATAATAATTTGTTACAATCTTTTGTATTTTTGTGGTATTCGTTGTAATTTCTCTGCTTTCATTTATGATTTTATTTATTTGGGTCCTCTCTCTTTTTTTTCTTGATGAGTCTGGTTAAAGGTTTTCCAATTTTCTATATCTTTTGAAAGAATCATTTGCTGGATTTATTGATCCTTTTGAGTTGTTCTTTTAGTCTCTGTGTCATTTAATTCTGCACTGATCTTATTTCCTTCCTTCTACTTGCTCTGGGCTTTGTTTGTCATTGTCCTCTTGTTCTTTCAGATGTAGGGTTAGGTTATTTATTTGAGATTTTTCTGTCTTCTTTAGGTAGGTCTGTATTGCTATGAACTTCCTTCTCAAGACTGCCTTTGTTGTTTCCTCTATGTTTTGGGTTGTTGTGTGTTCATTTTCATTTGTTTCCTGGATACTTTTTGATTTCTCCCTTGATCTGGTTATTGACCCATTCATTATTTAATATCACATTATTCAGTCTCTATATATTTCACATTTTTGAGTTTTTTTCCTTGAAGTTGGTTTCTAGTTTCAATCCATTGTGATCTGAGCACATGCTTGATATAATTTAAATTTTCTTGAATTTGTTGAGGCCTGTTTTGTGTCCTACCATGTACTCTAACTTTGAAAATGTTCCATGTGCATTTCAAAAGAATGTATATTTTGCTTCTTTTGAGGTGAAAGCTTCTGTATTGATCAAGTCCATTTGATCTAGAGTCTCATTCAGTGCCACATATCCTTGTTGATTCTTTGTTTGGACAATCTATCCATTGTCGACCATGGGGTGTTAAAGTCCCCTACAATGACTATATTGTTTTCAGTATCTCTCTTGAAGTCCTCCAAGATTTCTTTATATATTTAGGTGCTTCTATGTTGGGTGCGTATATGTTTATAAGGGTTCTATCCTCCTGTTTGACAACTCCCTTAACCATTATGTATTGACCTTCTTTGTCCCTTTTTATGGCCTTTGTTTTGAAGTCTTTTCTTGTCTGATATAAGTATTGCTTCCTCAGCTTCCTTTCCATGTCCCTTTGCTTAAAATACTTTTTCCATCCCTTCACTTTCAACCTATGTAGATCTTTTGTTTTATGTGGGTCTTTTGTACACAGCACATATGTGGGTCATGTTTTCTTATCCATTCAGCTACTCTATGTCTTTTGATTGGAGTATTCCATGCATTTACATTTAAGGTTATTATTGATAAGTATTTTTTATTGCCATTTTTGCCCCTTCTTTCTCTCTCTCTCTCTCTGAGCAGCCTCTGGCCTGCTCGCTGGGCTGGGTTGGGGCTGAGAAATCCCCTTGCTGTGCACCTTTTTGATCCCTCTGCCCAGCTGCACTCAGTGGGAGCAAACCATGCTTTCAATCTTTTCCCTTTGCTGGCAAGGCAACTGTGCACAGGGTCCCTGCCTAGCATGCTTATCTCCCCTTTTAAAAAATCTTTCTGGGCACACCCACTGCAGTACTCAGTCACTGTCTGGTTTTCCACACGTAACTACCTCTCCAAAAGCCAAAAGTCTCTCCTAGTCACAGCTGGCCGTGGCCTGCCTCCACCTGACCCAGGTGCAAATTCAGTGCCCCTCTCTCTCTGGCACTCTCCTGGATAGCATTTCCACTGCAGCTATGGGTATACTGTTCGCTGTGTGTGTATAGCCTGGATTTCCCTGACTTTGTGTATTCAAGTCACTTCTGTCCCAATTCTGAGGATTCTCTGCCCTGGGATTGGAGGGAGTTTCAAAGCTGCAATTTCTGACTTGGCTGTCCATGGCTGCAGGTGCCATACACAGAGTATATCCCCTTCAACTTATAAAATCTCCCTACCACCCATTGTGAAGTGTCTTCAGTTCTCATTAGCTTCCGAACTTCACGACAACTAAGATTCTGTTGAATGTTCAGTTCATTTGTTGGCAGATAACCCAACTCTCTAAGTTGGGATACAAGAACAAGTGGACTCAGCTTCCACTTACTTGGCTGCCATCTTCCCTCTCCCAATAGCCTTTTACTGTAGATAATCTGCAGTGCTGTTGGGCTCTAAACCAACTAATTAATTTCCCTATGGGTTTTTTTATTTCAGTGGATATTTGTTATAATTCACCATTGTTCTTGTTTCTTTCCTAATAATACATCTGGATCATATTATTTCAAACATGCAAAATATCAAGAGTTTTTTGTTTCTTTGTTTTGTTTTGTTGTATTATATTTTGTTTTTATTTTTACTATACATTATTATATATTTATTATATATTATATATTTGTTATATATAAAGTATGTAATATATAAATAATATATAACAAAAATTAGATATATAACATGTATATGTATATAATATATATCTAGGATTCTGATTTTAAAAATCAACTACAGTAATAGTGGTATAAATAGATGCATCTATTTTTTAAGTGGAAAGGTCATTATATATATCAAGATATATCATCAAGATATATATATATATACACATTAAGATATATGTAGACCTCAAGATATATATACATCAAGATAACATATACATCAAGATATATACACACACACACATCAAGATATATATGGACATCAAGATATATATATACATATATAGCTTAAGGCCCCTCTTTAGAAAAAAGAGGGGCAAGATTTATGAACTTTTTTCCTAAGTCTCCCTAAGTATTCTCTATAAAAGGAAAAGTACCTGTCCAGTTACCAGCATTTCCTGTTCTTTGACTGTGCTTTTAAAGTAGACATAATATACAGAATATGGACAATTCAATGCCTGTAAATAAAGAAATATCCACAGGTCTAGATCTATAGATGCAAGATAACTTGTTCTATGAAACAGCAGTTTGTTATGGGATGAATAGAAAATAAATTGAATACATAATTATGTAAAAGAAAATCTTTTTTTAAGTCAATGTAACTTGACAGATAACGTGTGTACTTTTTTGGAGAAAAATAATCAAACTAAAAAAAAAAAACCCAAGATAAATTGTTCATCATGATGACTGAACTGATTTGCAGTGAACATGTAACAGACAATGGTGATATTAGAGAGAATCATTTGGTTTAGAGTTGATACTTTCAGGTTCTCTTTATAAGCAAAGAACAGACCAACAGACTATAACAACCCAACTTTATTCTATTCACACACTTCAAAGATGTAATTACCAGGAAAAAAATCTTTTATTATCATCTAGGATTCTGGTTTTAAAAATCAACTACAATTATAGTGGTATAAAATAGAAGCATCAATTTTTTAAGTGGAAGGGTCTTGATAATACATTTACTATTATATAAATTATTGATTTTCTTTTCTGGTTGTCATTCCTTGCAGAGAGTGAATCTGTCCTTCGATTTTCCATTTTATGGCCATTTTCTACGTGAAATCACTGTGGCAACTGGGGGTAAGTAGTTTTCTATCCACTCACCCTAAATAATCTATAGTTTTGCTACAGTTATTATTTTTAATTTACTCCATATTTCAAAAGGGACATTTATTGGTAAAACTGTTGTCTTCTGTCATAAAGTCACAGCTATAAATAAAACTTAGGAACAACTACTATAGCTATTGGAAAAACTATTCAATAGGAAAAATAATGTAGTTCTAATAATTTTCAGCTTAGATTCACCTCCTCTGCTTTCCTTCTGAATTTTCATTAGTTTTTGGTAGTATGGTAATACTGCATGAATGGGACTAAAGTAGAAAGAAAAGTTGCTTAAGAAAATTTTTCATGTATTTTTGTTTAGTTGATAGATATAAATATATATATGGCTATAATAGATATAACCATATGTATATTAGCTTTAATTATTTACTTTCTTTTAATGTCACCTATGTTGACTGACAACTCATTAGAGAGTTTTATTTTTTTAAAGATTTTATTTATTTATTTTTAGAGAGAGGGAAAGGGAGGGAGAAAGAGAGGAAGAGAAACATCATTGTGTGGTTGACTCTCACATGGCCCCCACTGGGGACCTGGTCTGCCCTGGCATGTGCCCTGACTGGGAATGGAACTGGCAACCCTTTGGTTTGCAGCCCAAGCTCAATTCACTGAGCTACACCAGCCAGAGTGAGAGTTTTATTTTTTAAATATATTTTATTGATTATGCTGTTACAGTTGTCCCATTTTTCTCCTCTTTATTCCCCTCTGCCCTGCACCCACCCTCCCACCTGCAGTACCAGCCCCTCCCCCCATTAGTTTATGTCTATAGGTTCTATATATGAAGATCTTTGGCATCTCCATTTCTTATACTATCCTTAACCTCCCACTGTCTATTTTGTACCTATCATTTATGCTTCTTATACCCTGTACCTTTTGATAGGGATGATAACCCTCCATATGATCTCCATTTCTCTAGTTCTGTTTCTGTTCTAGTTGTTTGCTTGGTTTGTTCCTACTTTTATATTTTTTTAGGTTCAGTTGTTGATAGTTGTATTTGCTGTCATTTTACTGTTCATATTTTTTATCTTCTTTTTCTTAGATAAGTCCCTTTAACATTTCATATAACAAGGGCTTAGTGATGATGAACTCCTTTAACTTGACCTTATCTTGGAAGCACTTTATCTGCCCTTCCATTCTAAATGATAGCTTTGCTGGATAGAGTAATCTTGGATGTAGGCCCTTGCCTTTCATAACTTGGAATACTTCTTGCCATCCCCTTCTTGCCTACAAGGCTTCTTTTGAGAAATCAGCTCATAGTCTTATGGGAACCCCTTTGTAAATAACTCTCTCCTTTTCTCTTGCTACTTTTGGATTCAGTTGGACTGCCTGGTCCTCTAGCCATGGCTTTGCCATGAGTCCTCTCCACCCTGGCTGCCCGTCTCTGCCCATCCTACCAGTCTAAATGAATATTTCTTCTTGAAATCCTTGATTGTTGGATTTCCATACATTTCAATTTTCTGGCAGTTCTGGTTGTTTTTATTTTTAAATTTGTTGTCGTTCTTCTTTTAGTTGTACGAGGAGGCAATGTGAATCTACCCACACCTCCATCTTGGTCGGAAGTCTTCATTAGAGAGTTTCAAAAATAAACACTAGAATTCAGTTTGAATGCTTTTTGTTTTATTTTTCCCCACAGACTTTGGAGATTAGTGTAGAGATTACCAATACCCTTGAAAGGCAACAATCAGTCTTTGTTGTATATCCCAGAAGTCAGAAGTATTTTAATCTTTGAGTGCTACTGAGAGATAAGCAAAATGCCCAATAATATGTCTCCAGACCTAACATGGAGTAGAGAAAATAGAAGAATAAGACAAAAACATGAATATTAAAGAGTAAGTAAAGAAGCAAATTAAAAGAAATCTACAGATGTGTTGAAAAGGCTGCAGCGCATCTGTGCCTAAAGCACCATAGTCCAGAGCCCTTTATCTTCACAGGGTTTTATTATTGCTCTTCTGGATGGCATTAAAAGCACATTGATTACTCTTCTCATATTTTAATATAACACTTAGGAGATATGTAGGATTCTGAAAAAGATATGTAATCAGAAATATCAATGGTCAAATAAAAGTTGTTGAGTAGTTACTTGGAGCAATGGTGAATAAAGCTACACTGCATTAGGAACATAAAGCCTAGTAGGCTATTAGAAAAAGTGAAGTTGACTATGGAGAGAGTTCCCTAGAAAATACTCATGATGAAGTATAGGTTTTCAGGGATGATAAAGCTCAAACATGTGTGATAATTCTTTAAGGATTTATAGAAAAATTATTGTTTAATTGAAGGCTATCACAACTGCTCTGGTTATATAGGGAAAGAATGGATTCCAGGGAAGAACATCTTGAGTAAATATTCAGAAGAGGAAATGAGTATCATATATTTGTGATAGTAAACAATTGAGTGTGAGTAGAAGTGGGAATATGTTTATAAAAAGTGTGGCATATTGAGGTGTTAAAAAATGTAGGTTGGGAAAGATTTGCATAATGTCTCTAGGGTCAGTTTTTGTCACTAGTTCTTAATTAGGTAAGTAATAAATTTTAAGTAAATGGATATAGACATTTGTATTATGCCTTAAAGTATAAGAAATATACCAATGTTAGTTTTGAATACATATAATTGAAAGAACACCACAATAGTTTGTGTGACAAATATGTTTTTGTGATTCTGTGGCTTCAAACCAAGAGAGAGAAATGATGTTATGAACAAAAATTATGAACTCAAGCAGAAGAGGGAGGTAGGTTTAAGGAAAACCAAAGGCTTCAATTCTAAAACTTTTAAATTTTGTGTAAAAAGAAGGACTACATATAAGCAAAATTTACACAAAGACTGACTTCCTGAGCTCACGTGTATTTCTGCGCTAGAATAGTGCCAGGCATTTAACAGGCATTTAATTTTTTTATTTATTATATTTTTATTTTATTTTATTAATTTTATTTTAATTGTTGGTGCAGTACAATTTTCTATTTTTTACTCCTATCCCAACCCACCCACCCAGCCCTCCCCTCCTCCCTCCCATTTCCACCCACCCCTAGTTTTTATCCATGTGTCCTTTATACTCAATCCTGTAAACCCTTGCCCTTTTCCCCTGAAATTCCCCTGAAATTCCCTCTCCTTTCCCCTTGAACTCTGTCAGTCTGTTCTTTATTTCAGTGTCTTTGGTTATATTTTGCTTATTTCTTTGTTTTGTTCTTTAGGTTCCTGTTAAAGGTGAGATCATATGGTATTTGTCTTTCACTGCCTGGCTTATTTCGCTTAGCATAATGCTTTCCAGCTGCATCCATGCTGTTGCAAAGAGTAGGAGCTCCTTCTTTCTTTCTGCTGCATAGAATTCCATTGTGTAAATGTACTATAGTTTTTTGATCCATTCATTTACTGATGGGCATCTAGGTTGCTTCCAACACCTGGCTATCGTAAATTGTGGTGCTATGAACATTGGGGTGCATAGGTTCTTTTGGATTGGTGTTTTAGGGTTTTTAGGATATAACCCTAGCAGTGGAATTGATGGGTCAAAAGGCAGTTCCATTTTTAGTTTTCTGAGAATATTCCATACTATTTTCCATAGTGGTTGTACTAGGCATTTAATTTTAATGCATTGAAAGATTGAATGAAAAGGAAAAAAGTGAAATTAAAAGAGTGCCCCTATAAACCATGGCTTAACATCATGTTATCTCACATTTTTAAAATATGATTAAATATTATTTTAGAATATGGACATTAGTCAGTTTTTCTAACATTCAGGCTTCTATGGTTCCACTGAAATTTAAAGTGAGTGATTAATCACATCTGTTCAAAATGTATATACACAGTGATAAAAATATTAACAGCTTTGTACTTTCAGTTTCTCAAATTGTTATCTTTAAAATTCATGTCAGTGATTCAGCTAATATGAAATAAGATTTCCCTTAGCTGAATTGGTAGAAAAAAAAACAAACAGATGGCTATATCATGTATATTTCTCTAAGTCCAATTTCCTTTTAAAAGATCCTCAAAATAATAAAAAAATGGGTGTCTTGAATGATGTATGTCTTCATTGAAGAAAATACTAATGTAAGGAAACTTTTTCCTCTGCTTAAAATGCAGTAGCATGGAACTTGCTACCTCTTTTAGAGAGGCATAGGCAAGATACTTTAGACGTTGAGCTGGGTTTCTCCAGAATGAAACCAGAACCTCCTGAAAAAGTTTTTGGCTAAATAAATAGCTTGTTTGCACTTTCATTGATTGTTTATTTAATAAATATTGATTGAGCTCTTACTATATGAAAGGTACAGTACATGATACTTCAATGTATGCAGAGAAGAAGAAACTAGAGTTTTTGTTCAGGAGCTTAGAATCTAAGAAGAGAAGGTACATATAACTTTCAGTGCTGAAGGAGCAGGAGGTTGCTCATTCTCGCTGGGCCAGTCAAGTACAGGTTTGTGAAAGAGCTAACATTAGACACTGGCCATACTGGATTTTTAGTTGGCAAAGAGGCAGGTTGAAAAGAGGTGGATAAGGAAGGGGTATTCCAAACAAGGGAATGCTGAGCTAAGTGTCGGTGCTGAGCTCATAGTGAACACGTTCGGAGTTCCACTAAGTAAATATGTTTATTTTGAATGAAGAGTTGGAATAAGAATGTACTAAAGGGAAGATGAGAAGAGCAGTGAAGTAGTACTTTGTATGTTGGAAATTTGGATGGTACCCAACAAGCAATGGGTTTCTCTGGGAAAAGAACAGACCTGGCCTGCTCTGGCAGTGGAGAGCAGGATGAGGTGTGGGGGTGAAGGCAAAGAGAACAATTATCACCAGGTTTTTCAATACTTCTGTATGGACCTGAACTGAGATGTATTCAATGGAGCAGAAAAGAAACTAGTGCAAGACCATCTGAGTTGTTTAATCACCACAGTTGCAAAAATTTCCAGCCAAAAGAATCTATTAGGACTCAGTGAATAAAAGTAAGAACACTTAAAAGAAGACTTCTGAACCACAAGCTT